CTACCTTATTTAACCAAAGCTGTCTCCTCTGGTACTAGCAACATTATAATCCTGTTTATTCTCCAGTGAGTTTGGTTTGTAGGTTCTATCAGGGGAAAAGTCTTTGCTTAAGTAAAATAAAACAGTCAAGGAAAATTCCACATTTTTATTCCTTAAACAAAGAAGATAAAACTCCAGACTTCTCCCCTTTTGCAAATCCTCTTTGAAATCACCCAATGAATTCAAATGGTTTAATGGTTCAAACTGAGAACAAACACATACCCACTTACTCTTTTGAGCAAACACATAAAACATAGAGCTATGGTGATAAGGTAAGGTTACTGAGGCACTTTGTACTTACCAGAGCTTTAACCTCTCTTACTTGATGGACTCCTAACCAGTTTTGACTTTTCATTGACTTTCCTCACCTTTAATTTAAGACTGCATTGACTTTTCCTGTCACCTTAATCAATTTCTAGCATTAAATTGCTGCACAGCTAGCTATAATGCTACTCAGCATTGATTATATTATTTCCTCTCAATAATGTTTTGTTACATACATTGAAAAATTGTCCAAGAAGATTCCTAGTGCTTTGCTGGTTTTTAGTAGTTAATAATTCCACCTTTAATTCCACTTTTTTTTTTTTTTAAATGTTTCATTGCTCACTTAAACCCAGGTCAGTGTTTTGGAGGAAGGAAAGCTGTAAATTATGTGTGGTGCAGTGTCTATACAGAATGTATTTGAGCTCTGAGGTTTGCCATAAATGACAGCTGCTTGAGAGTAAATCCTTACCAGGTCCCAGTAGTGGCTTTCCAAGACACTGAAATCTTGTTCCCATGGCTGATGCACAGCTGGTCCAAGCTGAGTCACCACAGAACGAGTGGGTGACAAGGAAGAATGAAAGTTGCCTCAGCCTTGGGAATTCCTAAATATATAAGCTGCCAAGAGGAAAACACACCTCCCCTGGGGATTTGAAGTTCAGGCTTCAGATCCTTGGAGGACCCTCCACTACTGAGCAGCTACAGATGAGCTTCTCAGGGATGCAGCAATGCTAGAGAAGTGAGCCCTGCCCATGTGTCAGGTTTGCACAGACAGTGCCTACAAAGCCAGGACTGATTTCTTCCATGTCCTTGCCCTAAAATGGTGACAATTGTCCCTTTTTATGCACGGTTTTTTTCACATAGGTTTTTTTACATCAAGGTAGGACCTTACCTCCATTACAATAACCCAAGCCTGATTAATAATCATTTATTTCTTATGAAAGAACTGGAATTATAAAAGTGAAAAGATGAAACAAAATATAGTATTCTGCAGGCAACTACCAAATGGAATAACACTGTGTTAGCTGAGGCTTAAAATACTCTCTGGAAACTTAAAAGTTGCCTGAAGAATTACACAAGGAAAGATAAAATCTTTTTTTCCAGCTCCAGGATTTAAGCCTGAATTTATTGTTCCATGACAGGGTGTCTCCTCTCACCGTTTAGTGGATCATAAAAAGTAAACTTAATTTTTCTAGTAAAAAAATGACTCATGCTTTCAGCCAGGCTCAGTGATGTGCCTGGCTGGGTAGGTCTTCAATGCTTTTTTGGTAGAGAAAGGATAAGACATATCCACAATAAATATAAAATGGTTTAATATTTTTTGCAGGAAGGAAAGTACTGTGTTCATTGTTGTCTGTCTCCTTGACTGTGCTGTCACTATGCAGGCTCATTCCCAGGAATGTAACATAGGGCTCAGGGAGAACAAATCTCTCCTCCTGTAAGTCAGCAGACTCTCAAAGGGCAAAAAGGTGCACCTTGGGTTGTCCTCAAAGCCAGCCTGCTTAGGTGGACACATTGCTAAAAAATAAAGTAATATGAGGTGATATGTTCCAATACACCTTCCTTAGCACCTTTAAAAGAAGCTTTTGGCCTGTTGTTTTTTCCTTCTTGTGTCTTGTGTTAGGTATCCCTTTTGTTTGTCATGAATGGTAAGTCCTCTCTGACTTTCCTTTCTTCTTTCCCATAATATTAACATAGCTGTCTAATGTAACCCAGTCTGTACAGGTAAGTGCTGACAGGTATTTGTGGTTATGTGTCTGTTCCTGGGCAGGCCATTAAAGCACACTCAGAGAAGTCTGGTTTGTGTAACAGCTTCCACCACAGACCTCAGATATGACCTCACAAAAATCACTCTGATTTCCTTCATCATGTTCTCTCTCCTGTCCCTGGTCTCTCCAGCCCTGCTGGAGCAGATCCCACCTCTGACCACAAAAACCTGAGCTGTGTGTGCTGCAAACTCTGTGTGCTAGGAGAATACAAATTAATGACATTAAACTACTATTGAAAAGCCTTATTGACTCACGTGTTTTATATTATATTGAAGCCTATATGGCTCTTAAGCCTCTGTCACAGTTAATACCAGCTTTCAGTCATATCTTTGCAATTGAAACTCAGCAGGGGACTAATGGATGACCAGCTATTTTCTGCTAATACACCATAGAAATGAGTGTGCCTGATCAATTCTGGAAAACACTCACAGTGCAGAAAGTACTCAGAGAAAGTCGAAACTATTCTTTTTAAGGGAACATTTTTTATGCTCCCTGATTCTGCATTTAATTCTGTAAGTGTAGTTTAAAGGGCAAAGGGAGTTTTTAAATTTCATTTCACATTCAGACTCTTCTCCTGTCGGCACTCCTGTGGAATTGTTGCTGCTGCTCATGCATATTGAGGGGCAATGTGCACGTTTACAGGCAGAGTACATCTCTGCAGCTCATTCCCAGCCATTTCCCAGGTGCTTGGTACTGTGATAGCATTGTAGCCCATGGGGTTTCCCGTTTATACCCTAATAATTTTTTCTTCCATCCTACAATGCAAAAACTGTCTGTACGGTGAAGGAGGGCTGGATGCAATGTCCTCATAAGCTCATCAGCAGTTTGTGCTGCTCCTTCAAAGTGTACCACATCCTTCAAAGCACAGCATGTCTTTCAAAGCACTGCTAATGCTTGCCTGCCAGCAAATGAGAAAGCAGGTCAGGAGCCAAAAGTTAAAGACCCAGGTTGCAGGTTGCTGCTGGGAAGCACAGTTTCCAAGTATTTTGATATCAGAATTACTGCCTAGACCAGGAGCTAGCCCAGAGTGCCTTGTGCCTCTTTGTGGATTAGCAGGTTGTGCCACGATTAATGAATTCCTGCTCTTTCTTATTTAGACAGAAGGTACATGAACTGTTCCAGTCAGCTTCAGTCTCCAAGAAAAGAATCAGTACAGAATATAATGACACAGTAGGAAAAAAGAAGTCGGTGCTTCACCAAAGCCTGGATGATGGTTCTGCCCTTGCAATTCACGAGGAGTCCCTGTAGGTGAGAAGCTCCTACAGTAGCTGTAGCATGCAAGGTCACACATGGCATGTGTCCCAGCAGGACACCTTTCATTGCATGCCGTGGCAGTTTCTGTGGTGTGTGGTAGGAGAACAGCACAGCTGGCAGAGAATGTGGCAGTGCAGTTTGGGAGGCAAAGCTAAAGAGCTCTGCTGTTAGGCTGCAAGCCATGGGGTGAAATGTCTCTGCTGCCACCAGGAATGCTTCACAATAAAATCCTTTCTAGCTTCTGTTCATTCATTTCTTTTCATCATTTATTTCAAACATTGAAAGTCAAACCCTGAGACTGTAGTGAAAAGCAGACATGTCTCTCATGAACACCTGGGATGGAAAGTCCTGAATGTGCACCAGTAACCATGTTAAAAACCCTCTGTTGTGCCTCTGTTCCAGACACTGTTCTCACCGGGCTGCTATCCAAAACTTCCTTTGCTGCAGTGCACTCTTGCTAGACACTGAATGTCTGACACAAAGTCCAGGCAGAGAGAAGTCAAAGGAGGCAGTTAAGCAACTGGAAGTCTGTAATTTCTTTCTTGCTTGAACTGTGTGTACTCAAGTGAGAAAGGATTTTAGTTTTTTAACTGAAAGAGATTATCAGAAAGCTTGAGAACATGAAAGAGTACCTTAAGCTGGAGACAGTTCAGATAATTTTTTTGCTATGAACATTCTAAATGACTTTAGTACAAAGTGAATATATAGGAGTGCTGGACATGTGTTAATATGTGATGTCTGGAATGGCCATTAATCTTTGTTTTTATGAAGTTCCCGTTGTGAAAAATTATGCCACATTTTCAACAAACACAAAGCAAAAACCAGTTTCTTTCTGAGGAGCTTTTATCTAACCACACATTGAAGAGGGCTGTGAAGGTTGTAAGAAGAAAGGATATGCACTAAGTATATGTTGGCATTGAAATTTGAATAGGTGCGTCATAGAGGCATTGATGAAAAAAGACCAATGGGGAAAAATAGAAGGGCAAAGAAGAAGGGAACAACAGTCAAAGGGAATAAAAAAGGAAAGAACATATCTGCTATGGCTGAGGGGAAGGCCCTGGGGAATGTGTATTGGGACATGCTAGCTGTTACAACAGAGGAGAAAATGCTCCAAGACAAAATGATATAACCTCTTGACATTGGAAAGAGACATATTGCAGACCTGCACAGTCCCTGCTCCTTAGCCCTTTGCTGCCATGGACAGGCATATCTGTTTGCCTTCCTCTGGAGATGACAAATTACTGCTGTGATTTCTCACACTAAGTGGGCAATATAATCCTTGATTTCATATACAGTTCTCATAATAACATCTCAGGAGAACATGGAACTATGTCTATGACTTTAGTTGCAGTAAGACTATTCTATTGGTGATAATAACAGATTTGTTCCTTAACTATTCCCAGTGTGAATAATTATAAATTCTTGTGTCAGTGTTTGGAGGTTATCTCAGGACACTATTGGCACTTAGGCTTTTTGTCCCTGAATGAGGAAAGTTTAGCTTTGCATTTAACTATTTCATGATTTCTATTCCAACACGTCTTGAGTTTCTACAAACTCCTTACCCTTGTGGAAAGTGAAAAAGAGAGAGTACTCTTAGGGGATCAGAGAAATACATAATTTGCAAGTTGCCTAATGACTACTTTAAAATTTAGAAGAAAATGAGTATATGCATGTTCATAGAATTTCAGTAGGGACTACTCTGTAAAGTCTGTACTTGTGCATATGAACTTCATCAGAAAACAGTCAGGCATGGCAGATAGACTACTTACACAAGAAATACTTTTCCATTTCACAGTGGTTCCAAAAATAATTTTTATATAGCATTTTTGGTCAGTTTTCTTGTAGTTATTCTTCTGACAATCAACAAGATGTAAAGTTTAGAAAAGCAGACAAGTCTAGAAATTGTCTCTGACCTCTGCATATCTCAGTAGCACTTCTGCAGAAATTCTCCCCAGTCAGTCAGACAGTATTCTGAAAACAACCTTGTACCAAGAGCATATCCCTGAGGATCAGACTAGACAGGAATGAAGAACAAACATACATTTTACATTCATATGCACAACAGGAACATTAAAAATTCAGTTCCTTATAGCAATATTTATAACTACAAGTAAATATTTTCTCTAAATTTATCTTCAATCTGTCATATTTAGGTAAAATTTCCTTAGAGTCTTTAGCTTTAGCTAAAGAAAGATGCATGGTTCTTTTTGCTTGAAATACATTTACTGCTGCTAACAAACCCAGGCTTCTCCTCTGCCTCCCCAATCCTGCCCTGACCTTTACTACTCACACACCCAGGCTACACTACTGTGGATGGAAGCTGCTGCCTCACTTCCTTCTTAAAACATTTTTACAACTTTCCCCCACTCTCTTTCATTACAGATCATTATTTCATATGAACTACTACTTCTTTCCTTACATCCCTGTATTTCACTGCTCTTTTTTCCAAAACATAATGAAACACTTTCCCACTTTCCCACTTTCCCTTTCAATTGATTTGCCTGATAGCCTCAGCAGGCCTGATGCAGACTGCTGAATCTTCTTTTTCCCAGCCCCTCTTTTGTTGCTTCCATCCAGATTTTTCACAGCTCTACGACTCAGCATAACTTTCTTAGTGGACCATATCACTTGCCTGTCTCAATCCTTTCCATAATCCACTCTTGCTCTTAAAATTCTGGTCTTTTTCCCTACTTCAACCTTAATCTCAGAACTGAATCTATGTCCTATATGGATGTTTCTGTCACCCACACGTTATCTTTTACACTGTCCTTGACCGTAAAACTCTTCCTCAGAATTCCCTATTATATTCATGTCTATGTCCTCATTTTATTCCAAACACTTGGAAAGACATTTTCTTTCATATGAAGGCCACACTATTAACTTGTCCTTTCCAAGTAATGAAAAGAATACTCAGGTTACCTGACAAGCACAACTGAGTTGCCTTCAGAAGGAGGCAACTATGCTAAATTATACCAGCAGAGAAACTGGCTGAAATACAAGTTAACTTCATCATTTAGAATTTCTTACTGTGCTTTGATTTATTTGTGTCTTATCTTCTGGAGTTTCAGCTGTGAAGGGCGAGAATTATCTTTATCACTGTACTGAATATCACTGCTATGGCCTCAGCTCTTTCAAGCTGGTAAATAATGAGATACTCATGAAATTCCTAGCGGGTGTTTTGTTTTAATACCTCATCTGATTTCAGTGGGAGGTTTACCTGAGCACGATTTTCCACTAAGCAGAATAATTTCTTGTTCCCCCTACCAGGTAACAAATGCCAGCTTAATACATCAATCCATCATCACATAGTTAGGTATTATCTGTAGTCAAAAGCCCCAATAAAAAATTCTAATCTCCTTAGAATGATAAAGAAGAAAACTAATCTGATCCTATTGCTAATAAAACTGAATTTCCTAAAAAGCAAGGGCTATTTATACCTTAATAACACAATGGTCTTTCCATCTATCAGTCTGGAAATTCAGTACCACTTGGTATCATATAATTTATTTTGTTCTAACAAACCTGTTAGTAATGTGAGCCCTATAGCTGTTGGAGAGAGAACTGTGGAGTGGGAAAACATTATGTCTAGTTCTGCATGGTAAGCACTGTTATGGCCAAGGGCAGAATTGAAGTTGTTTTCTGGAGCATTGGAGCATGCATTTTGAAGTGCAACCCTTGCTTTTGCCAAGAGGTGAGAGTTTAATTCAGTTGGTTGGACAAAAATAGAGGGATTGTGGAAAGACCTGACTCTTTGTTCTCAGTTCTGCTGTAAGCATTGCCAGGTATGTAAAAGAGGATGATTTAACACATGGTCCGGGTTCGGGCCAGGACAGGGTTAATTTTTGCAGTAGCCAGGAGGGGGCATGGCCAGGACCTGGAGATTATTCTATACCACCTCCTACCATTTCCCAGGGATGGGGAAAGGGTTGCTTTGGAGTCCTGGAGTGTGGCAGCACAGTGGGGTATTGCCAGGGGGGAACACTCACATGTGAATCATTCATCTCTTGTATTCTGTCACTGGTATTGCTGCTGTTATTGTTCATTTTTTTACTTCATTGCTATTTCCAGTAAATTATTCTTATCCCAACCTATAACCTTTACCTTTTGTGCCTCTGATTCTCCTCTCCAGTCCAGCACAGGAGAGGGGGAATGTGGGAGTGAGAGAGCAGTGGTTTGGGAGTAAGAGAGCAGTGGTTTGGAGTGTTTTGGTGGAAACACTCAGCTGGGGAAACCATGGCTCACATCTAGTTAGGAAATGTGGGAATTAGTTACCTGAAGAAGAGGCATGTCACTCCCTTTACAATGAATGGCTGTGTGATATGCCAAAGGCTTGTTTAAATTATCTGATATAACTTCAGCGAAGCAGTGTCACTGGGTAACACCCTGCAGGCCTCTCTGAACTGTGGCACCAGACGGGATGTTCACAATGGCTCCCAGTTTTTCTTTGCCCTAATTATTTTTTCATTTTCTAAGAGCACCTGGTCTGTTTTATTGTCATGACTCAGTGGTACCTTGTGACATGGACGTACAGAAATCCACCTCAAATCTTCTCTCATAACTTATCATGGTGCAGCACTATTTATGTCATGGGTTAGTAGTTCAGAATACTGCTCATGCCTGGCAGAAAAGACTTTGCCTGAAGGCTGCCTGAAAACACAAATAGGGCTAGCTAAAAAAACAAAGACCTGTTTGTCAAATACGAATGGAATTAACTGTCTTATGATCCATTCTCTTGCAATCCATGATACATATCTGATACTTCCCTTCATAGGCAGGAAAAGGAGTGTCTCACAAAAGGCAGGGAAAGCACCATCACTTTCTTCCCCAGATTTCTTCAGTTCCTGTGGTAATTTAAATTTTCTCTTTCATCCTGAGTGACTGTTGAGTTTGCTAGCACCAAGCTCACATTTCATTACACCTGTGATAATTTGTCTCTTGGTAATTTGAAGGTTGATTAGTTTTTTGTTACCTGTAATTACAGACAAGCACTCTAAATGTTGCTTAACTGCCAATCTGCTGGTCTAGTAAAGAATAATTTAGATATTTCTCTTGTAATTGAAAGGAACAGTTGAGGGACAGGTAATCTGGCTGATGGCTAGATTCAATACATGTTCTCTCATGGTAGATGACACCAACAAAGAAAGGCCCATGCTCTTCTTGCAATGGCAGGGCTTGTTATGTCAGTTAATTACCATTTGTTGTTAATCAACTACATCCAACCAGTACATACAGTCTCCATTGACCTGTAAGAGGGGTGGTGATTATTTGGCATGGCACACTGCTCCCTTTAATCCCTGGGCTCTTGGCAGAAGACACAGTCTCGTTTCTGAGCCTCTCCTGATTCAATCTGAATGGTGATGGAGTGGAAGCTGTAGTGCTCAAACAGTGCTTGGGTAACATCTCTCAAAATCTTCTGGCTGTCCATTGTGTCTGCTACAGATAGCAAGCAGAAAGTGATCAAAACACACACATTTTGATAATACTTTAAAGTGTTGCATACTTCTAATATAGACAATGATATCTAATATAGATATGGTATACTTCCAGGATAGAAAAGTTTGTTTGAGAAGTGTTTATTGTCCTTTTTTTCCTCCTTTCAGGAACCCCCATGTCAGCAAACCTTTGTTCATTCAAATATGGTTGAAGTATGTCACTTTGGCAAGAGTTAAGCTAAGTTAAGTAATCATCATAGCAATTCAGTTTGGCAAAAGACTGGAGGAAAGCAGAAATACTTAATAAAGATTAGTTTGCCTAGTCAGGGAGTAGCAGCAGAGCCAAATGATTTGGGTGGCTGATAGACCCTCTGTGTTTGGAAAGTGGGGACTCTGTGGAGGACTTCACCTCTAGCCCTGTTCTTGGCCAAGCACAGCTGGCTTTTTTTTCTCTTAACACTTTCTTTTCTCTTAATATGTAAAAAGCTAACAGACAGGAAAAAAAATTGACCGGGGTAGTGGACAGTTTGTGAACTGGAATAAGAGCTACCATTTAAAATAGTATTTTAAAAGATGGACTAGAGCTACCTCTAAACTCCATCTATTTTTACAGATGGTTTTACTGCTGGAGATACATCAGGAAGGCATACTGGCCCTGTAAGTTTTTCTTGTAGAGATCAACAGTTTTCAAGTTTGACAAAATTATAATAAAATTCCAGTTTGAGCCTCATTCTTTTAATTTGTTTTAAATATCTTGTCATTTACTTTGTTGTCCTGCAACCTCTGCAGTTTTCAAGTTTTGGGCTAAGTAGAGGTCCCTGTTGTTTAGACAAGTTTCCTGAGAGTAGGATCTAAGATCTTTATTTGTTATTATTGTTGATTTTATTTTTCCAGCAAAATTATGATGATTCTTTTAACCAGCAACAGAGATACAGCCAGTTTAATCTGAATCAAGAAAGACTGACCTTTACTCGACAGCAGCTGAATAGTTACTCCCTGCTTACAGAAATTTACTGACCTGTGGCAATGTGAGCAGAGAGAGCAGTTTGATTCATTGTCAGAGACCAAAGATGAAGGTTGTGAACAGACTCCACTTTTTCAACTGCTAAAATTCTTGCTTTTACAGCATCATAAGCAAATCCTTTTGATGTTCCTGAAAAGGAGAAATCGATGGAAAAACAATATTTTTAAGGGATAAGAATTATGATCAATAGATGAATCATGAACCTCTATTCACTTAGATGTATCATTTTTATAAAAGTATTCAATGCTTTGGAAAGCCCATCTATTTCAGAGTTCACTGTGTTATATAATCCTATCCCTTGTTTTAAACTTCTCCATGGGAGGCTGAGACTCATGCATGTTTTAGGGGACAGTCTGAATGTGCAGTTTACATAGGGTAGTGAGCTATTTAGTCAGATCATGTTCTAGTTTTGCACCAACATCTTTTGTGAGTGTTCTCTATGCCTGTGTGAACAGCATGAACTCATCATGCTCCATTTGGATCCTTAAACTGGAACAGCAGCTCCAGCATCTAATTTCTTTTCAGAAAATTCTGGGCAGAATATTCTACTTAGGAGACAGGACACTCCCCAGATACTGGCCCAGGAGTGCAGTGGGCTTGGTGCAGAGGGGAACAGAGCACTGCTGACTTTGGCATGCCAGCACTGCTTACAGAAGCTGGGACTCACTGCTTTGAGTAAGAGACTCCTCAGTGTCAGGGATTGCTCTCCCTTCCTGGTAGTTTGATTTTATTTTTCCCAATAACCAAAAGATCTGATATTTTAGAAGCCAAAATTGTTTTTTGGAAGCCAAAAGTTGCTGCACTTTTGTCTAGGTATACTTCTTCATGGAAGTATCTCAATCTCACAATCATTGAAACCTCAAATGAAACTACTGTAACAGTATCAGATATTTTATTTCTTGAAACAGCAGTGGGCGCAAGTGAAAGAGAGAAGAAATAGCCGTGCAAGCAGACACACTAAGTAACCATTCAGAGGCTGCACTGTTAGAGCTACTTTTCCCTTTAATCCTCATGTCTTCACAGTTGAGAAAGAGGTTGCATTATATTATTCAATGTGAGGAAGACAAAATCATGCATCTGTGACTGCTCAAGTCATTTGGCCTTGTAAATCAAATATTCAGGCCCATAGCTGACAGGATTAAATATTGCTAAGCCTGGCTCTTCTTGCTGCTGCTGTGCTTAGAATTGTTTATTCCCATGCACTGAAATGAAACTGGAAAGCTCCAACAGCTTGCTTTTCTGGACTCATGTAACTAAAAATCTTTTAAACTTCTGTCTTGCACTCAGCCTATTTCACAGACACAGTTCAAAGCACAATCAAAGCACTTTTTCTTCACAAAGACGGGTAAAGGAAATACACAATGAACAAGGTAAGTAGGCATCTCACATGCCAAAGGGGTGATAGAAATGCTACACACACGGCAAACAAAAGCAACTCAGAGCTCATTAACAAAACACCAGTACACAGATTTTTACAAAAGCTGGCATATGTGTAAACATAAGGTAATGGTAGAAAACAATTTGGATTAAAATTAGAAATAGGTTTAAAGTATGATCAGAACCATGAGAATATCGGAAGCCGATGCAGAAATGTGCCATTATTCTTTTTTTTCCAGCATATATAAGCATTATGAAGAAAGCAACAGAAAAAGAAAATCAAAATATAAGTATATTGATTCTGGAATCAGGTCCTACCTTCCATTAACACAGTTAAAATATCTCTTAAAATCGTGATGGTAGTTGCCAAGACAAAGGTGGAAAACACAAATGTGCAGATTGGGTCAGCTATTTTGTACTGTGGCTAGAAAAATATGAACAAACCACTTTGTTAATTTCATTATTGTCAGTTATTGTCATTTTTACTTAGTTAGCATGAAAGAATAATAAATTCCATTCATCTAGTACAGAATGGAATGGCCTCCTTTGCCAGCTAGAGAGCCTCAGCACAGGGAATGAAGGTACTACAGGTGAAGAAAGTATCCAGTTGAAACACCAAGAAGAAAGGGTTAGACTCTCAACAGTTATTTCATTTCCCAAGAATAATATAATTCTCTTTGATACAAGTACAGCGTGCGTAATTAAAACAGGAAATATTTACATAGTACCTAGGGTCACACCGTTGTGAAAATAGCACTTATCATTGATTGCAAAGCAGGCATATGAGCTAATAAAACCAACCTTAAAGAAGATGATAAGTGCGCTAATTAGCACACTAATGCTCTGGAATAGATCTCCAATGGTATGCACAAAGGCTGCCCGCAGGCTGGCATTGCTCAGAGCTGGCTTTTCCAGAGGGGCTGACTCGCTTTCCCTGGCTTGTGCCCCATGGCTGTGCCCGTGGCCAGTCTGGTGCAGAATCAGGCTTAGTCTGCAAGAGATGTAAAGCTACAAATATCAGAGGATATACTGCATCTCTGAAAGCAGTGAGGTCATACACATCACCATCCTGCCACTTCTGAATGCTGAACAGTAAAATTTGACACGTTAGGTAGAAATGCAGAGTGGCTGAGCAGACAATTCCTAGGTTTTTGGTGATTTGCATAATCAAGAAAGTCTGTGAATGGGGTAATTAATGAGGCTTCAATTTCTATGGAGTTCTTGAATATTCTGACATCTAATAAAAAGCGAGATGGAGAGTAATCTTTTCCTGGGGTTTGTAGATTAATAATTTGCCTTCCCAGTGTGGCAGCTAAGAAAGGAGGAGAACAACTGCAACTTTCAATGAGAAGCAGGACTTCTCTTTTTGGCCCCTTTCCATATCCTCATGGAGCTCATAAACACTTAATATTTTTGAGGCCATTATCTCCCTATAGTTTTGGGTTTTTTTAATTGACTTAGAGCAGCAGGTTCAAGGTTGACATGTCATATGAGAGGAGAACAAAATAACTTACAGGATGTTGGTGAGCACAGCACAAGCAGAAGTAATGAGCATCACTGTAGCATCAATATCGTAATCTGGGTGTAGCAGCCTCATGCAAGCCAAATATATCAACACACCAGTCACCATCCAAACTATTATCATTGACATGAAAGCTCCCAGAATTTCTAGGAATGAAAAAAAATCTGATTTTAACAGTCAGAATAGGAATGCAAAAATTTGAAGAGGTTGATGATAACGATTCCAGGTTTATCAGGTTTATAGCCAGGAGAGCTGCTTCTTGTATGCTGGCAGTCTTAAAGAAACAAAGAATGGGTCAACCTCCTTTCTGATCATAGAAAATCCAGTGACTATCCAGGGTAGCCTTGTGCATGTGGTGGCTTAACCCTGTTCTACCTGCTCCTACTTTTGTCCCTTTTCCAGTGCTGAGTTCATGCAATATTCTAAGAAATTGGAGAAATGTAAAAGATGATTTGGGGAGTTCTGGGAGGAGCAAAAGGAGTTTGCCTGGCCCTGACTGTGGTGTGAAACCTATAAAGACCAGCCCTTCTCTCCCAGCAAGATTATCTTCATCACAGGAGCAGAAGTTTGAAGGAAGGAGAGAGGCACAGCTCACCCAAATCCACTGTCAGACATAATCTCCCTCCATTAGCCTCCCCTGTTTCTGCACACCTCTCACCACTTCACACTTCAGAAAGGCAGTAGCAGCTCCCAACGAAGTCCTGTCAGCAAAACTTATCCTGGAACTCATTCTGCCAATGCCACAAAGTCATTTTTGTGCCACCAGCTGTGATGAGAACAAAAGAAGTTATTTTTTCCCCAGGGTAGCAAAATTTAATTTTGTCTCTATTGGCTTTGAGTTGGGCTCAAATAAATCCAGTCCCCAAGGCCACCTTTTATTGCACTGTTATAGGAGAGGTCCAGGGAAGTGCATATGAACGTGCAGCAAGCTTTTAATAGGATATGGGACTAGTAATTGCCGTGTGACTTGAATGGGTAAATGAGCACAACCGAGACAATACCAAAGAAAATGCAGCTCACAGTAAAGTGAAAGGCAGAAGACAGCCAGAAAGCATTTGCACAGACCTCCACTGACAATCCTTTAAAACAGCTTATGGTTTTTTATATCATTTTATGGGGATGCCCCCTTTACCAGGCTGCAAAAGCTTATCAAACAATTATTTTGCCTAAAAGTGGAAAATAATAAATGAAAGTGCACCGACAGGGGAATTTAGTTTTGCTTAAAAGTAGATAGAAGCAAACCTAAATCGTACAATTCCTTTTCTACAAGTTGCAGGTTGAACCCCTGCAAACTTGGCCCAGCTGAAGGGGTTGATGGCTGTGCTATCATTGGCATGAAAGCAGCCAAGAGCTCTTGTGAGCACATGTATCCACCTGTGTGGATTTAGGCATATTTTCTATAGCAGAGCATGTTAGTGGTCATCTTTACATATTAATTTCCAATGGAGTATCTTGGCAAAAGTTTAGTTAAGCTTACAGATCAGTTCAGCAGCACTAAATACTTCACTCGAGATTCTCAGTTCTCAGTTACTTTCAGAGCTACTAGCACTAGCAGAGCACAGCAAACAATAGTGTAGGATTGTGTGGGAATCTCTGAGTACAGTTGAGGAAAATTAAGGTGCAAGAGAGTTTTTGTACCTGAAAATAGTTTGTCTCACATTGTGTTTCTGTGTTTGTGAAAGTGGCTGCACTGCTCTGGCATGGAGGGCAGGAGGCATTCAGATGGCTAAACCTGAGCACTGCCATACAGAGTCTTTTCATGACAATATCTATCAGTCTGTGAGCAGCAGTGAAAAAACATCTTCCAGTGTCATGGAGGGCTGCACCTGCAAGACCTTGGTAGTCAGTGAAGAGTGACTTTGCCACCTGACTGCCCTCAGCTACTCTATTAAGGTACCCACCTGCATATTAAACTGAGAATATAGCTGGGGAAATAAGCAAGAAACGGGATAATAAACATGGAATGTGATTAAATAGCTTCTAACATTTGATGCAAGGCTCTTTCTGCTACTAGGATAAAAAGGGCAATAAAGGATTGGTTTTGAAGTTCTGCATTCAATGACAAAATAAAAATAATCTACTTCAGACTGAGGATGAAGTCACATGAAGTGGCTGAACCTGCCTATATCAGCAAGAAAGGTCTCTCTCTCACTGTTTCCCCCAGGATAAGAGGGAATAAACATGAAAAGTAGTGGTAGATCAACTGATGTTAAGTAGTAGTTTACTAAGGCTGCAAAATTCAGCTGTGTGTTGTCTGCATAATGCCAACCATGCTTGAGCCATACTGAACCTCCCACTCACCCAGCAGCCTGTTTCCACCAGGGCTGGTAGAATACACTTAGGGAGCTACAGAAAGGCAGGATGAGTATGGCACATGCCTTCCCTGGTACTCTCTGCAGCTATAACCATCTTTGGCCTACAGACACGTGAGTCAGAAGCTGTTTCTGGACTTTGCTACTGAACATCCTTGAAGCATTTATCATCTGAGTCCTTGGTTCTGGTGCACAGGTGTCTAGAGTCATTTGAGGTATAAACACCTCCATGTGCGGCTTGACACAAGGTGTGTAATTGACCCATAGACTTCCAGAGTGGAAACTGGACTTCAAATGGCAAAAATCATTTACATATAAGCAACAAATCTGAGCCCTGAGACATCCAACATGAGACTTACTTTCAGACAGAGACAAGTAAATTGCCTACCTGTAGGCATTACCTAAGTGTCTAAGCTCCCCCTGCAGACAGTGGACATCAAATTAATGGTGATTGACAAGTTCTCTTTTTCACTGGCTGACTGGGAACACATTCTGGTTTCTTAGCTGTGAGTGTCTGGTCACATTTGACAAGCCCTGATTTTGTCCTTGTCACCTTGTGCAGTCTCCTATAGACCTTGTGCAACAGCTGCCATTCCATGCATAAGCCTCCAACATTCTATGGATGTAACACTGGACTTCCATGTTTAGGAGGCTGAATGGAGTCAAGATTTCTGTTGAATATATCAGAGACTTGGACCCTGTACTTAAAGGTGCTCATGTATATGTAGGCATTGATATTTAGGTGTCTAAATCTTGAACAGACTCATACTCCAGAAAATTATTCTCATGGTTAGTATTTTGCTAGTGTCTTGCCTTTTGCAAAAACATTTGTGTTTGATTGTCAGGCTTTTGATAATAGGTATCATCTGTAAAATGATTATTTTAGGTTGAGGAAAAGGTACTTTAAAAACCTGTTTGCACCTGATAAAAGGCAACAGTGATAAAGAGATATGAGAGAATCTAGAAAAGGGTAAATGTTAAAGGATCTCACTTTTCTACACATGTAACACTGTGAACGCTTTACAATTATTTAATCATTTGCTTTAGAAATGGAGCAAAGCCTAATTTTTATGGTTATTATTGCCTTTATAGAAACTTGTTTCATAACAAGTTGAGAGCTCAGTCTTCCACGCACTCAAGTCACCGAGAGAAGTTGCTGTTATTTCAACCAAAGTTAGCACCAGCCCAAAACTATGGCAAATAATGAACTGAAGGATGTGCTTTTAGATAAGAGGTGACTCTTTTCTTCTTCGAAATTCACTGTCTTACTCTGTTTTGTGTCCTGAGAGCTGTGGGAGCATTAGTGCACTGTCTCTCAATGCCTGCAGACCTGCCTTGGACATCAGCGTGCTCTCCAGCCCCTGCCTATGGTCACTTCCCTTTCCCATTCCACATGTCCATAATATGCCATGTTTGCTACCTGCTCGGTGCCACCCAAAAGTGAACTGTTTGGTGGGAGGTTTGGAGGCGAGCCACAGTGAGAAGAGGCTGATCAGGAAGCTTGTCAGGTCCACCAGGATGTGTGCTGCATCGCTGAGCACTGCCAGGCTCCCGGCGATCTGCCCACCTGTGTGAAACACGAGTCTGGATCACAGCTCTGGTCAGAGCTCTGAGCCAGCCAGATCCAACTCAAGACCTGATTTGCTGAGAATCAAAGGGAACACTCAATTTTCGGTTATCATACATGAGACCCAAACCTCTTCAAAAATAATTTAATTTTGTACCTCATTCATGCTGTGAAAGGTATGAATTAATAGAAATACATAAGCCAAATTTCTTTATAGGAAAAAGACCTAAGAACTGTAAGAGCTGTGATACATTATTTCTATAGTTACGTTATTATTGTACTGTTTGACTATTTTAATATCAGATTTTTTTGTGAAAAGCCATATTAGGAATCACATTTCCAGTATCCTCCCACTATTTTTTCACAGAACACCGATATTTTTATGTAAGTACAATAGTTCAGAGACCTAGCTTATGGGATTAATTTCCTGTTTGTTACAGGAAAATATGCATGTTCTTCTTGCTGCCTGTTTATTTGTCACAGGCAACACTAAAACAGAAATACATGGAAAGATCCCAATAGAAGAACTGTGATAAGCAATCAACTATTTTAGTGAGGGCGTAGAGAAAAATGTTCTGTTCTCAGGACTAATCTAGTATTTTGAATCTGTAATGCATGACTTAATTTTCCTGCTAGAGCTCAAAAAATGTGGCTAAATATCATTTTACTCTGTGGGGGTTTGGATTTATGTGGATTCTGAAGGAAAAAAACCCCACCGAATTAAAAACATTTTGGGTTATTTTAATCCACATTTCTTTTACTTGGTAAGCCAAATATAATTATTTTGCCAATTTCTTTTAACCATGTCTCAGGGCTAAAGGAAAATCCAGATAAACTAAAAGTTTGCTTTAAACTGCCCCAGCTCCTGGTGGCTGCAGGAGAAGAAAAGGATCCCAGGCACGACACTGTCCTTCCAACGCATTACAGCAGGGGAATCTTTTCATCAAAGTGCAAATGTAGAAGAGTTGACATAATAGAAATAATAGAGCCAAAACACCTAGTTTCTGCATTTGGCAATGCATTTCCATTCTTCAGTCATTTAATTAATTTCAGCTCAGTCATTTCTCCTGACCACAACCCATCTGAGAATTAATGAATCCTGAAAAACATCATAAAATGCCTCATTCAAATCTTCGGCAGCATACCACTGCCAAAAGGACATGTAGATGTCTCTCTCCTTATAGTTGGAGCATTTTCATGCTAGCAGGATGGACTGTCTGCTTAACTTCCTCCTGTTTGCATATTTTAGATTAGAATACCTAACACCACAAGGTATTTCAGCACAGAATTTTACTCAAAGTTACTTCTCAAAAGGGAGAAAACATGGCTGCAGAATTTGGGGGCATCTCATTCCTTGTGGTAAAATGAAAAATTCATCAGAATAAGTATTTCCCAGCACATGCTCAAGTGTAAATGCACAGATACTTTTTGGTCATGGCATGTTTCTTAGACTTTCACTATTTTCAGGGTAACTGTATCTCAAGAGGAAGGCAGTTCTGCTTAGCAGGGGGAAGAAGGCTTGTCTGGCAGTGTCCAGATGTTAATAACCCAGGCATCAGGTATCTTTCAGCAAACAAATATGTAGACCATAAGCTATGGGCAAAACCCCATTGCATTTTATATGCTCTATTTCCATGTTCTGTTGGACAGTATCTCAGAAGCTTGCTGCTAGCCTGCTGTCTTTGAAAAATGTTTGCAAATTATTATTTTATATATTGCTGGCATAAGTAATGCATTGGGTGAGTTTCAGAGATCTCAGTCTGCTTAACTTAGCAGCTTGTCTCACTGATCAAGTTTTTATGTTTTACTCTGACATGAGACCACATGCAGTGTTTGTATTTCTTTCTACTGCCCAAGTGGAAGTGCTTTGGAATCCACATTTGTTCCTTAACCACCAAAAATCGTTGGAAAGCACTTTCATATCTGGGGTCTGCACTGGGAAGTATTGATCTGACTGACATTTCCAGACCTATGGAGATTGTGATGGATCTTAGAAGAACAGAAGATAATTGTCTTTCAGAGAGAGTTGGTGGTGTATCAGGCTCAACCAGCAGCGTCCCATTTGGGAGAGCAGTAATGGCCAACACACATGGTTTGAGAAAAAAAATATCACAGAAAGATCTAGGCATTCAAAGAAGCACAACTTTTCAACCTCTCTGAGAGTGATGCAGCTTTGTTTCTTCTGTTTAGCAGAATAATGCCCATGGAACCTGTTTGCCCTTAGAGGGCAAGGAGGGGAGGGGAAGATATTCTTTATCTTCAGGAGTAAAATAAGTGTTGTAGTTATAGGCTTTTACAGCTTTTTATCAATATTCCCAACAAGTGGCCTTTAAGACGTACCATTCCCTATAATGGATGTTTATAGCTTTATAGACCACAAGCAGTAGAAATTGTCAGTCACTCAATGGTCAATCATCAGGCACAGCAGTCTTGCCTAATGATTAAAAAAATTAAATGTATGGTTCATAATTACAAAAATTTCCATAGAGAGCTGTCTGTAACTGCAGTTAATAACTGGTTTGTCAAAGTTTAATGGTCTGAAGCAAAACGGTCTTCAAGCCTGTTACTTAAGCTGTCACTGCAAAAAAGCTGCATGATTCATTAAGCAAAATGAAACATTTAGTTAACATATCATCTGTCCTTCCAATTATCCTCTAGCACAGCCGCATTCACCAAATTTAAGCCTACTGATTATATGGTTTTGTTAATAATGCATTACTTCTGGCACTGGAAATTACTGCATGGGGATTAGCAGCATGCACCAGTTTTCATGGGGGAAATGCAGTGACCTACAAGCAAGAGGGATTCATGCAGAGGGAGCACGTGGGAGGGAAGAGGTGGAGAAGTCCCTGCTGGCTTTGGCAGCCAGAGGAGAAGGCAAAAATGCAGCAACTCTTTCAGTGCCTCCACTTCTCACTTGCAGAAAAGACAAAGCTTTTCTGTTTCATTTTCATGGGGCTCCAGAGATGTCTGAGCTGGGGAAATATGGGTTTCAGAGGCCTTCCTGGCTGATTTTTGTTACATTGGCTGGAACACGTATGGCAAAAGTCTGTGGGATTCTTCATGCCTTCTCTTACCTCAGCTCACTGCAGAGAAGGGCAAATTAAAGAGCCAGGAACTATCAGGTGGATATAAATATCACAGAATTCATGGAGAGAGCAGAGCAGTGAGACAAAATGAAAGCCAGTGCTCTATGAGCAAGCCAAATACTTATATTGGATATTGTAGGGTGGGTCCACAAGTGAAAGCTAATTAGGTAGGGGAATAATCTTCCATTGATCCAGAGACACACTAGCAGACCAATTTAAAAGATAAATGTGCCCTGATATAAATACATTGACTTAACTGTAGAAAAACAGATGGTGAATCTGGCCCCGGATTTCCCTGGATTTTGAAAAGAATCTTGCATTTATTTTCAGATCCTGCTGCTAGCAGCCTCCATCAGTGCTGAGGTCTCACTGGCCTGGATAAATATACAAAATCTTTTAATCTTTTAAAAAAGAATGTAACCCAATTTATTAGAAACCTTTCGTGATGCTAAGACATGTGTCAGTCAAGCTTAAAGACCTGGAAGAACAGTTCAGACAATTAACTGTTCTTTGTATTCCTACCCAGATGCAATCCTTGAATGAATATATGAAAATATTTTGATAACTTCACTTAAACCCTCTCCTCTCCCCAGTTCTTTTGATGACCAGGGACAAAGGAGAGTTATTTAATGGCAAGTGAGTCCACCCTTGTCAGCATGGTCCCTGCAGTCAGAGTGCACACTGAAAGCAAGAGTGTGGCTGTGCTGGGCACCAGACTGGGCCCTTTTTGAACACACATACTCCCCTGTTATCTCAGCAATCATGAAGAAGGTGCAAATTACTGATGCTATGCAGAGCTTCCTCCTGGCTTGATGCTGCTCCCTCTTTCTGTTCTCATAAACCTGTGAGTAGCTGTGACAGTGATACGCTGGATTAGCTCCTGTAACTTCTGCTTCCTGCTGCTGCCTCTCTTCATTTGAATTCTTCTGAAGCCAGCTCATCCTTTGGGATAGAACGAAATAGAAGGTTAAAAAAGAAAAACCCTGGTTATTCAGGCGTCTAGCCCTACAGCCCCAGAAACGATGTAATTAATGCTTTCAAAGGATAAAAGCAGCATTGGGAACAGCAGAGCAGGTCATAGAAGAGGCTTGCTCACACAAGCAAGGCTCTGTGGGAGGGAGCTGCACATGAAATGAGTGTTCTGGCTCTGTTTCCCAGCTCTTTGGGCTCTCCTACATCATTTAGCAGTTTATGAAGCACAGGGTGCCTTTCTTAGGCTGTATATCTCATGCACACCTCATGACTTTGAAAAAATTGTACCTCATGCAAATAGCTACCAAATTCAGCATAACATGGAGAAAATTCTACGGAAAATTTCAGGATTTTATTCCCAAAAGTTTTGTCAGGAAAACTAGTCAAAAAACAGCCCAAATGTATTTTTCTTAAATATAATTGGCTAAAGATATTTCTCTCCTCTCTCTGCACACAGAACTATTTTATCTCAAATTTCCGCATATATACAAAATCTACCAATATTCCAGCAGAGCCTGAGCATAGAAAATATTAGCAAAAAAATCTCAGAGGTATTAAAAAATCAACGAAATCAATTCTCCTTAGTACATAAAACCCACAGTACAGGTAGAACCTTTTGTGCCACTGATTTCATGGTAAGGAGAGAAGTCCAGCAGAAGTGGCTCTTTGAGCATTGCTCCATCACAAAGTGATTTCTCAGCCAAGTCTGCTCTGCCACAAAACCTCAGTATTGTGCTTTTCAGGGTTCCTGCACAGCACACATGCAGTGGGGGTACAGAGGTCTGGGACCAGACTCATTGCAGGGCAGCTGTGGAAGCTCCTGGATGACCACAACATCTGGAGCTCTCAGTAGAGTGACCAAGAGAGTCCCCCTGGGAGGCCCAGGGTGGTTTGCTGAACAAGGATGTTCCCTTCTCCTTATCTCTCAACAGAAAAGAGCCCAAATTGCAAAACAAACCCCTCTAACCCTTCTCCCAGGGGAGACTTGAAACCATTCTGTCTCTCCCAATACAACACTTGTTGCCAGAGCTACTCCTAATGTGATGAATGCACTGAGCCTGTGGCACCAGAAGATGAATTCTGCCAAGATGCACCATCCCTATAACCACACGTTGCAGTATTTGAGGTCTGTGTGTCCAGGGGCTACCCAGGAACACAACAAACTCCACTGGGTTTTTTTCTGAAATTAGCCTGGGGGCAGGATGTGGGACTGGGCTTAGTTGCCCCCATAATAACAATGGCTTTTCCCCATTTTGACTTCAGATTTTCCTCTGGGACTAGGAAGAATTATTTCTATAGCTGAGTGAGGAAAACCTGTGCTCCAGGAAGTAACATGAATCCCGGTGACTTTCTGTAGTGTTTCTGCACTGTTTATAGAAGTGTCAAGACTCCTAAAATCCCACTAGAAAGAAATCAGCTGGTGGCTGGCAATATGCAGTGGTCAATGTCCAGAAAAAAAACTGTACTGAAATCACAAGCTTTTTCCAGCTGCTTTTTTTGGGCAGCCTGAGGGGGCTGCAGCTGCTCAGCAGGTTTGAAGTCCTGCCAGATGCCCCACACTGGTGGGCAAGAGGCAAAGGCACCTGCAGAGCTGATGCCTCTGCCTTTTATGTTCATCAACATCACAGAGGTACTGGCAAAAGAAGACCTGACCCATCTTGGCAGCCAAGCCCTGCAACTGTAGATAATCAGTGTGGATTTGGTCCTGTAAATATTATTGAGATGTTCCAAGGGTATGATGTTCCCCTGAGTCAGCCTGTTTCCCAGCCAGGTTAGCATGTGGTCTCTGTTTGCTCAGTGGGGGTGACTGGTTCCCCCTGTACGTCAGGAGCTTGTGTGAAAGAGCAACTGGTCAGATTTAATGCCTGATGCTTGGAGACAGTGAGTTTTCTTAGTCCTTTTATCAGCATTTTCCGTTATTTTCCTCACAACAACAAATAAATAAGAGTTGGAGTGTCTAGGGAATGGGCTGCCCATCTGGCAGCTGGGGTCCCCACCAGCCAGTTCTTCTCCAGCCCTTTAGTTTTCCATTTATCGGGTTCCTCATGTGCACTGTGTCATTTTTGTACAATATTTTTCTGATGAATTAGACACAGAAGGTACCACAAATTAATTCCTTCCAGATGGCTGAATAAAATGCTGTAGTTCTCTCACTCTTCCCAGGAGATCAGGGCAGGCAAGATTTTCTTTCTCATGATCTCTCTCTGGAGTTAACTTCCAATGCTTTTCTATAGTTTGCATGTAAAATTAATTTCCCCTTACCTCAGTTTTCATCAACTGGCATTGAACATTAAAATCATCTTAATGACATGAGTCATGATCAGCTCAACAGCCTCTCAGGCAGGAATGCCAAAATCACTGCTGCATATTCTGAGCCACTAAGTCCTTTCCTTGCTGTTAAAAAAATAAGCCGCCCTGTGATCTCCCTCTCTTTTGTTTTTTGTCTTTCAGTCTCTCTGTTAACTAACAAAGCTTCGGGGCATCACTGAAGGGCAGGAAAGCACTGTCCACAGATCTTGCTGGACAGATGCAAAAGCAAACAGAGACAGCATAAACCCACAAATGTCACATTTTTCTGTCTAAAGGGCACCTAAATAAAAGTGCCCCAGTTGCCAGAGGTGGTGAGCATTCACTGCTCCCTTTGAACTTGCAGAACAGCATCTGGCCCGATGAGTTGGTAAAACTCCTGCCAGTTCCTGTACGTAACCATTATTTTTCTCTTTCAAAAGCTGCCTGCCACTAATTAAAAGAATCTAAGAATCTAAGAGGCAGTTTTATAAAAGTGTGAATCAAAAGCTTAAGGTGAAAAGATCAGCTTTGTTAGACCAGAAACTGCTTCATAGTGTTTTACAGCAAGATGTAGCCTTTGAGCATCAGGTCTCTGTACCAGCATATTGCAGAGTCACAGATTAAAAAATAATATTTTCTCCACTTCAAATTCTCTTTTCTTTGTAAAAAAGATAGTCAGGGGAATGTCACTGAAAGACTCCTACTGAGTCATGCCCGGAAGGCGGAAGCAGAAAATATTAATACATATTGCAGATTTCACACAAATCATTAGCAATAGCTTTTTATTACAACTTCCTTTCTGTTTATTTTCACTTGATCTGCTGGGTGCCTTGATCTGAAGGCTTATGGGAATAATTGCTATCCTCCTAGACCATTATGAGTTCCCCAGTCAAAAGAGGAAAATGTGGAATCACTGCACTTTCCACAGGAGATCATCTCCTTCATGAGGGAAAATAGTAATTTTCTGGTGCCTGAAAGGATAATGAAACTACCTTCAGAGAAAAATTTATCAAAGTCATTTCCCTTATGCTGGCACCATTCCGATTTCAATTGATGTACCAATCTTGAATATTTTCAAGGTATGTAAGACCCTGTTAATAACCTGACTGTCCACTTTCCCCTTTTCCTTACTGTGGGCACAAAGTAAAGGCAAATATTTATATATTTACATACATTTAGATATCTAGTAGATTCATGCCCTTATTTGGCCTCATTTTGAGGGCCTGGCCCTGTATGCATAAATGTACTGTGAAAAGTTTTCTTTCTACATAAAACTGTAACAATAGCTGCCTGGAGATAGACCAGAGGTACATGTAGCCAAGTATCCAAATTCAAATATCCAAATGAGCATGAAGGAATACATAAGGTCAAAGTACCAAAGAGGAATATTCCCAGAGAGAAACTGCTCCCGAGTTCTGAACCAGAGCTCCTGTCCAATATCTCTTTACAGATCTGTATTCCACATACCCAGCTGACTTGAAAGTATTGAGTTCCACAATTTAATTACGACATGTGTAAAAATAATGTGTCTTTTGTCACTCTGGAGCTGTCTGCCTGCTATTTTAATTAGTTTCTCTAGTGTTGGAAATAATGAGTGACTATTCCCTGTTTACCTGCCTCACATCATTCATGATTTTATGTATCATTGTTATACCTCTGAACCATCAATTTCTGAGCTGATGCCTTAGCTATTTAATTTCTGTTTCATATCACTTACTACTTTGGCTCTAGTTTTCTTTCTGAGATGAAGTGGGCAAAACTGAATTGAGTGTAATGGAGATGGCATATGGCCAGTCCTGGGCAGACACAGCTTCAGGGTCCTAGTGTCACCTGCAGGGGGGCAAAGGCAATGGGATTGGGTTTTCTGTAAGATACTGTGTGCTACTGGGCCAGCTGGCAAGCCAGTACAAAGGAGACAACCACAGCTAAAACAGTCCAGAAATCACAAGAAACACCTATCATCTTCCTGAGCATTGATTCTGTAAAGGAAAAGGAGTGGTGGAAAGCCTTTATTTGATGAGGACTCTTTGATCTCATAAGAGTTTTCATATTGCCTGTGGGAAGGGAGAAAAAGAAGAAAATGTTCCTTATGTGCTTGCTATAGAAAATCACTCTTCACCTGAAGAAATCATCCCCCAGGTTCACTTCAAACTTTTTGCCTGGTGGTATGAGCCTGGCAGACAAGAACCAATTAGGAGTCTAAGGCCTATAGATAGGAATATCTACAGGTAAATGCTCTGTGTTAAAAAGTTTTGCATGAAAACAAACCCTAACATTTTCACACAAGTTTCCTGCTTTCAGCATTGCCCACCTCTGGGTTTTTTTCTGCACCTTGTCTCTTGTCTCAGAGACAAAATAAAAATCAAAACATTGAGACTTAAAGCCTTGAGTTTCATTTGTGTAATGGTATTCAAAATCCCATTATAAAGACAGATAAAGAACATAATAAGAAATCCACATTGGATCAACCCAAACTTTAGCTCATAGCATAGCAGGCACAATCAGATGCAAATCCAGTTATTTATGAAGTGGGATATTTAATATTTCTGGTCAATATTACAGTGATCTGTTGCCAGCAAGAAATAAAATACTCTGGCCTATCTTCATTCATGGACACTTGAGTAATTTGGTCAAGCCATTACCTAGTCCACGGTAAAGGGTTATCTAGATCACTATATAGGTGATAACAAATAGAAAAAAATAGAATATAATTGATTAGTCATTAGAACTTATTCTCTTTTAATACCACCATTGACTGTGAACAGACCATACAAAACTATCTTAGTTCAGATCTAATTTTAAGATACACGATGTATGACTTATGGACAACATGTTCTGCATGAAGCAGGAGGCTCTGAGTGCTCAGCTTCAGACCCTGTAACCATTATGGCTCATAACCTTCCTCAAGTCTGGTGGGAAGTGGAGTCCTGTCCTGAGACCTGTCCTGTGTAATGCCTTCCCCTGTTACTTGGAGGAGGAGGAGGTGTAGGGCACCCTGATCATGTTGGCAGATGATGCCAACCTGGAGGTGCAGCTGATAGACTGGAGGGCAAGGCTGCCATGAAGAGTCTGGAGGAAGAGCTCAAGAGGAGCCATCTAATTTCACCAGAACAAATTCTGCAGCTGGGGCAGACAGATTTGTGAGACCACATCTACAATATTGTGTCCAGCTTTGGGGTCCTTAGCACAGGCAGGATCAGTAAATCAGTGCAGGTTCAGCAGAGGGTGACCAGGATGATTAAAGGCTGGAGCACTTCTGTGGAGATTGGACTTTTTATAAGCACCTGGATGTAACCTGCCAATATTTTCGAGGAGGCTATTGAGAAGATGGAGTTTAATTGCTCTGCATGGAGGAAGGATGAGGTCATTGGTCATAAATTGAAACAAGTTCTGATTTAATATAAGGGAAAAAAAAAAAAAAGATTGTGAAGTTAATTCCCTATTGAAGCACATTGCCCAGAATGATTGTGGGGTTTCTATCCTGAGAAATTTTTTTCAAAACTAGATTGGAGACAACCCTGAGCAACATTATTCAACCTCTTGGTTGGACCAGAGACATTCTTAGGGTTCCTCCCAACATGAATTGTCCTATAAATCTACAACTGATCTGACTTTCCAAGGACTCAGTTGAAGCTCACCCCTTTTTTAACATTTCAAGTTTTACATGGGAAGCTTTAATGCATCCAAACCCTCTAGTGACTACAGACAGGTCTGGCATGTGCAAAACACCTCCACAGCCCTGAGTGCAGGGAAAGGGGTCAGCTTCCAGGCTTCCTACTCACATGGTCAAGATAAAACTAGTTTTGTTCCCTGTGTATTGTAATGATGGCATTTATTAAAAAGAAAGAGGCTGGGGGATGGCTGGGAAATAGGCAATCTGTGTGTAAATAAATTCTGTTGAAAGCATTACAGCTGCTCATTAATGCTACACATGGGGGACAGAAAAATGTGGTAATTTATACCAAAGGCTAATATGAGCTTATTGCTACTATTGGCTTAAGGCAGCTGCTCTGTGAGCCCAGGCCCAGAGGGCTGAATCTCCTCATGGGCTGACTGTGGCTCATGGGCTGGCACCCCAAGCTGCTGGGTGCAATGGGAAGCAGGGCAAGGGCTTCCCTTGTGCTACCAGCTCTTTCCAACAGGAGGGAGACTCTGGCTCTCAGCCCCCGTTTCTGGTTATTTCTGAACAGAGTAATTAAATGGTGCAGTTAATCAAATTTCATCTGTCAGGAAAAGCAAAATGGAGCTTCAGCACAAAAGTCACATGGCTGGATGACAAGTCCTCTTAATTTTGGAGAGCTGAACTACCACCTCCATCATTCAGCCAACTCAGGACCACCAGTGTAAAGCCCTCCTGGGACCAGCCCTCCAGCTCAGGGGCCATTCCATGTAGCTGCAGAATCAGCCAAAAATTGCAATTGCTGCAATTGCAGCAATTCAATCCTAAATTCAATCCTAAATTAAGAAATAATTATCAGAAAAAAATTGACTCCAGAAGGTGTGTCAGCTCTCAGATGGGAGGATCAGCTGCCAGGGATTCTTGCCCCCAGTGTGCATCCTACCCTTCTGCTTACCAGGGATATTCCCCATTAATGCAGATCCAGGGAAAAAATGCTTCCTCACAAGGCAGCCTAACAACTGTCCCTGTCTCAGGGGATCATACAATGGGTTTGCCCAGAGTTGTCCTTTGTGTCCAAAGGTTGCAAGGGGCCGAAGGACCTCAAGCACTGAAGCTGTGCCCACAAAATTGCAAACTTTCAAAAAAAAACTGAGCGTCTTCAATAACTAAAATGAACTTCAGAATCATATGGGATCTTTTTGAAATATAAATATTACCACAGAAGTAATTTTGGACAGTGCCATCTATATTTATGGAGCCATGTAATAATATTTAAATAATAACCCAGACGTTCAAATGACTAAAATATGATGGCAGTGACCCCAGTATAAGAACATGAAGAGACAGATTTCCATTTGAACTGACAGTGTTTATGCCAAGTTTCTGTCCCACACGTTTTAAGAGAGCCAAGCAATAAATAACCTGAAAACCAATGAGATAATGGAAATGTCAAGAGGTGCTAAGCTGTAACTGAGCAGCGATTTTCTTTTAAAAATACTTGCTAGTCTGAGTCAAGAGGAAGAATGAAAAAAAGTCAAACTGCAAAACTATTTTGTGATAGACACTTATACTCATTTTTTAACCCCATCTACAATATTTCATGTTTTCAGAGTATCTTTCCTCACTCAAGCAAGCATTTACTCACAGGACCTCTGACACACAAGAGGTACATTATCTCTAAGCCAAACAGACTATCCACAAGAATAAAGCATTGCCTTTCTTTCAAATAAAATGGATAATTTAGACATTCAAGCATGAAGGAGCCTTGAGTCAAACATGATGTCAATAGCACAATTAAAATTCAGCCTAAAATTGCAGCATAATCCATGAGGTTTTGCATCCTACAATAAATCTACTAAGCTTATAAAATATATAGCAAGAGACACTTGCTTCAACAGTAGATTGGTTCAATCCATCACAGACACATCAGACTGTTGTCTAGTAAATGTTTCAAATATCTAATAAGAAAGTTTGGGAAGGAAAAAGTTGAACAAAACATTTCGAAAGTAGTAAAATGTATGCACGGTGAAACTCTTCAGACTGACTCCTGCAGCTGTTTGGCAGATTGGTGATCTCACATTGCTCTGACAAGAAATGTCAGTGAAGGAAACAAAGAGTTGTGTTACCTGTCTAGGGCCAAGGAGTACTTCTTGGTGTCCCTCTCGCTCACAAGACAAGTTCTTTCAAGACCCTTTTCAGTAGCCATGAAGAAAGTCAATGGGGTTTTTCCCCTTAAACTCTCTTTTCTCTGAAGCGATACTGGCAGAAAAGTCCTCTCAACTTATGCAGAAGTCTCTGCCAAATATTTAAAAATGGAAATGTTTTAATAATCTTCCAAGAGAAACTGCAAGAGAAAGCTTCTTTCCTAGTGCCAGTGGCGTCACTACCATGCCAGCCAGTAACTTGCTGAGCATGTCAGATTGGAGATGTGGGCCTCCCTCCCTCCCTGTTTTTCTTTTTTTCCTTCCATGTTTGTTGGTGGATGTGCTCTTTGGTCACGCAGGGGGAGCGTGCTCTGCCAGGCCCAGGGTGCAGCACAGCGGAGCACACTCCAGTGTGCGCAAAGGAGCTCACGTGGATGCACTGAAAAAGAGAGCATCAAAAGAGGTCATTAAAACAGCCTGATTTGCCTGGAAACAGTCAAACCCCTGTTTGCCTTTCTGCATGCTTGGCTTGGGAGGAAAGTAAACCTCCCTCACTCCAGCTTTGTGCAAGCCTTTTAATCTAAGCAATCGCTCTAAGGACGGATTTCTTCTCCTGGTGTGTTCTCTCCTAATGGTTCGAAACAGGAGAGGCTGCTCATTATTGCCATTTGCAGCACAGGTTATTGAAATCTTCATTTCAGCAGGAAGGACTGTAGGTTGTTACTTGTGCTTTATTCAGTTTGTTAGTTCTATTGACAGCCACAGTCCCTGGAGGGAAGGAGAAGCCCTCCAGCCTCACCTCTCTCACAGCCTGACCTCAGACATTTGCTTCAGCACTAATGGGAAATCTTGCACTGGTACTGGCTGTGTTTTACCATATTATTGGCAGAAGCAGACTGTGAGTGAGAGCCCTACCTGTGCACGGCTTTTGTGGGAGAAATTAGAACAAGGCCGTGGGGGGCTGCACTTAAATTCTGCAGTCTTTTTTTACCACAGGTACTCTAATATGAATATGATGAACTTCCTTCCCTCAGCTCTCAGAGCACATACTCTGTCTGAAATTCATGGGGACAGGTGGTACATTTGTACATATAAATGCAAACAATTTGGCTTATGCCAACAGAGATCCACATGTTGCCTCCCACATGTCAGCTGTGCAAACACTTCCCTGGAACCTGTGAGCCAGGGAGCTGAATGTATCTCAGGCATTTTTCTGAACAGACACATCAGAAATGCATGTTTTTTCCACAATGTGCTGCCCATCTTTGCTGCTCTAATGCCCTTTCCTTGAGAGCCTTTTCCCAGGTTCTTATACCAAATTTTGCACCCTTATTAGGTGGAAGAGATTGATTTTACTACTCATTCCTGGAACTTCCTATCTTCTTCTGAACTGTAAAAGGTTGCTCTTTAATGTTTTTAAAGTTGATGCCACTTACTGGCCCTGAAAATGTGCTTGTCCTGCAAGGCTGGTTTGAGAAGAAACTCAGGTCCAAGGATATGTAGTATGGACACAGGGCATTTGCAGGAATCTTGCAAAACAGAAGTGCCACATTTCTTGTCACCCCAGAAATGCCACTGAGGAGCAACTTTATTCTGCTGCCAAGAGAGAGTAAGGGAGGAAAACAAAGGTGGCCTCTCCAGCTGTGCACCCTGGAATCTGACACAGGCTTATTGCTCACATCCAGTGAGAGATTCTGCTGGCTGCCCATCCCATAAATATCACCATTATTGCAGTGTCTCTGTAAGCATCTCAACTAATCTTTCCTTCAGAAATTACCAAAGAACAACATCCTGTTGCAAACTCTGGATATCAGAAAAATAAACCTGACCTGGAACCTGATTTACAGGGGATATCAGCTTTTCTAGGATGCTAAGCCAAAGTATCAGGTCTAAGCACCTTCAATTTGAGGAAAATTTAAAATCCACCTCAGAAGATTACAGGTAAAGCCAGTTTCTGTTTCGAATCACTGTAGGCATGTAACTTTTGTTAGTGAGATGGATGAGTTTCCATCATTTTGCAAAAGGATCTTGAGCCTCAGGTGCATACCAGCAAAACGAAGCCATAGATCATTCACAGCATTTAATCTAGACTTCTGTTTTGTGTTTATTATTGTCAGTGCTGATGGTTGTGCTTCTCAGGAGACAGGCTGTGAGGCAGGATAGAAAGAAATCTCTTCTGAGCTATCCACAAAGACTTGGGTTTCCTCTTTACACAGACTCTGAAACTCATTAAGAGAGAGACAGCATCTGTCTATGGAATTTCTGTTTCAGAAAAATTATTCAGACCATCTAATAAATTCATCTCAGGCTTTCAATAACAATGCAGTTTGTTTCTGAGCCTACATTAAAAATACCACAAATCCAATCATACCAGTTTTAATGACCACAGTCAAGGACATTTCTCAAGATTTGCATCCAACACAGACATGTAAGGCATTGCACTGGCTTTTGCAACTGAAATCTCCTTGTCATTTTTATCCAAAATCTCCGTTAGTAAAAAGGCATATCCCTGATCCCATTTCAACAGCTACACTTGAAATATGAAAAAAATCCAATCCCTCTCATCCTGTCATTATGGGAGTAGATACTGACAGCTTAAATGTACGGAGTAAAAATCAGTGCATCTATTAATTGAAAATGCCACTGAAGTCGATCATTTTTATGAGCCATGAGACATCTTGAAGATCATCTGCAAAGAGTTTCTCTACCTTTTTCTGGCATCAGCTTCAGCACTGCATCACCGGCAGCCTAGGGATCCAGGCATTTGTGATTTCTGGGGCTTGGTTATTACAGTTTTTACATTTGTAGTGAGAATATGCTTTTTCACCCAGTGAAGTTCCAGTGCCTTCCAGCCATCTGTCATTTTGGGATCCAAGGCTGGAAGCAAAACAAATGGAAAGAAAATCCACTTTCCTCTTCTTGTGAACCCTTCAATGCAGTAACCCTTTATAAGTGAGTGTCAAAAGGAAAATATCTACCCCGATTTAGATCCAATTTAAAAATCATTAACAGGATGTTAATGTTCAATATTTTAAAATACTAAATTTTTAAACATCAATATTTTTAATCTTAGATTTGCTGCCAATTTCTCAGAAGAATGGAGCCTTTTGGTAGTAACTGACTGAGAGGTAAAAGTCATCTGCAATGTTTTAGATGGGTATTTTTAGATTGCACAGAGTCATTGGGGAGAAAAAGACTTTTGAGGCCCTTGTCAAAGAAATTCAAACTTGCATTGAGAGGGGGGATTTGGAAGGAACATGGTACTATTCTGGGGTGTACACCTTTACTTCCAACAGTAAAAGTATATGCTGCTACTAAGTCAAGTAGAAATCCTTCTACAGAGCCTGGGGCTTCAGGTCAGGACATCTACTCCTCACGTGAGCAGAGTTCCCAGAATATCCAGAGTTCCTGCTGGTGAAGCCAGTGGTATGAGACAGCCCTTCCCAAGGCAGGAGCCTTTGGAGGAGCTCAAGGCCTTGCTATGGATGGTGGGAGAGCCCAGGGTGCCCAGTCTGGGCAGGGAGCACACTGGTAAATAGATGAGGAGATAGGGATGAATCTGGACCCCAGAATGGGAATCCTGAAGGACACCACAAACATGAGCCTTGCACAGCTACAAACTTCCTCTGGCCCATGCAAGGCCTCTTGAAGTTTTTTTTCTCCAAGCTGTGATATGAATATGGGTCTAATCGGTACAGTGGGATGGGGAAAGGGGGAAAGCAAGGTTTAGCATTTTTTTCTCCTTTTTATCTTATCTATTCAAACTTTTATCTTTATCTCATTTTCATAGGGACAACATATCAGGAGTACTCTGAATCAGCTTCCCAATGTCTCAGGTCTTTCAGCTGAACCCTCATTGTACAAATAACCCAGCTGTCATTAATTTCCTTGGAGAGACCAGGCCTTCAGAAGTAGTGCCAAGAAATGTTATTTTGATACCAAGCCACTTTGCTTTTCTGAGAGTATGGCAAGCTACTGTGGTGTCTGAGTGTCCCAAAAGTCCTGTCCAGGAGTAGCACAGTCTAATCTTAGAAAAGTTTTTCATTCTAGGCAGTAGCTGAAAAGAAAAAGACAGTGAACTTGAAAAACTAATGCTAATATCATCTCAAATGTTATTGTCAAAGACTGTGCCAGCTTTTGTTATAAAAATATATTATCTTTCTCTGAGCACTTAGTGGTTTTCTGTCTCTTTTCCATTGCAATTGCAAAGGGCTTCTGCTTGGTTTTGTTTTTATGATGTCTGAAGTTGGTTAGGGAATTAAGCCTGTAATTGCATTGCTAACAAGTATTTCTTAGATACATTTATTTTTCCTTGGGGAAAGAGACTGTTAGGAAGAGAGTACACATATTTCGGCAGCAAAAGAGACAGCTATGACATTTGGCTCCTAAGTTACTACCTGGATATCATTTTAATTGTTTTCTTCTACTAATAAAATATAGTAACTTTACTGCATTAGTTCCTTTATTACACCTCCAACATACATTTCATTGTCATGCTCTTCCTAAGTACATTTGGGTCATGAAGATACATTACAATATATATTGAGAGCCAGTTTGTTAAAAACACAAGGAGTTCTGCATTATTTCTCACCAGTGCAAAACTAATTGGTTTTTCTCAGGTACTGCATATATATTTATTTTCCATTTTATCATCTCTATAATTGCAGTTTGAATTACGAAAAGGACAGAGCGACCTGGTAAAAGCAGTTGCAGGGACAATTTGTGTTTTGCTTCCCAGCAGTCAGGATTTCTCAAGCCTGTCAAATTGTGGTGGGTGTTGAAGCACTGCTCACATCCTTCTTGCCTGGGCCGTACTGGCCATTGCTCAAGCATTTTTTCTTTCTTCCTCAACTTCCAAATTTTTTTTTGCAATAATTTGTATTACTCGGAGGAAGGAAACCAGGGCTCACAATTCAAATGTTCAAGAACGCTGAAACTTTGAAGAAGTGAGATGGTTTTTTGCCTTCTCCCTTTCTAGTTTCTGAGTATGTACAATGCACTCAGGGACCAGGGCAGCTGAGCTGCAGTGTGAGCTCCCCAGCCACACCTGTGCCAGGTGTGCACATTCCAGGTATGCACAGGGATGGCATTCCTGAAAATTTCTGGTAGGAGGGAGCTCTCCTTGCCCTGTCTCCTGGAAACTGCTTCTGGGCAAGACATTCT